ACCAATAGAATGAGCCTAATTGGTCACATGCACGGACCTTAATATCTGATAAAACAATCCTTATTAGTATTCTTTATATCATATAAAGAATAATACTGAATAAGGGTGACCTTTATCAGATATAAAGGWCMATGACCCTAGCAAAGGTTTTAGGTTTGATGCCAGATCATTGACCAATGCAGGATGTCAACCGATTGCAGTAAAGCAGCCACCAGCACTTCTATTTTACTTTATGCGTATCCAAATACTTGGAATCCAGAATCTAGAATTCAGCAAAAAATTTGGAATCCAAAWACAAAAATTCTTTGAATCCGGAATCCCCTATCTCTTTGGATTAATTCAAACATAAAGGGGAGAAAGTGGCTACAACTGTGAACAGGTTTGCCATGTTTGACTTACCCACATATAAAATTAGCACCCCCACATAAGAACAGCCCAGAAAATAATACAAAATAAGGACCARTCTGTGGAATCTAATGGAGGAACAGTTAGACGACATGACGCCATGAATGTAGTTTGAAAAATTGTGAAAAGACATGTCAGGGACAGGAATGATMTTTTGACAACAAAAAGAATAATTTTATCATTTTTGAACTTAGAGAGAGACAAAATCATTGAAGACAAAGAATGAAAAGAAAGAAAAAGACGAAGACAAATTACAAGACGAACTGAAAAAGAAGGAAACGAAATAGAACCAGGAGAGAAARAACGATGCAGTAACCTATAAACTCTTACCACAAAGGGTCCATAAACCAATGAAGAGAGAAATGACACTAAGCTGTACGTGCCAAAGATAAAACCAACCTCAGTATCGCTGACATCCCGCCTTTTAGCCTATCATATTATATAACTGTTGTAAGTACTTGAAGAACAATACAATAAAGAGTACAGTAGAAATAAGGATTATGGAACGGGTTATGCAATGGGCGAAGCATGGCGGTGGTAAAGTTTTAGCGCGAAACTGTAATTCGCCGGTAGAGCAYGGTGGAGATGGCGGTAGAGCATGGTGGAGATGGCGAAAAACCAATCAGTGATTAGAAAGTGTATGATGAATCCTTATCATTACGATTCAATACTTTCTTTAAAAAATGTTCWTGCAATAAGCAGGCCCAATAAGCAATAACCAATCATAGTGAATAACARTTATTATAAGTARTACCATGGAACGAGGGAAATTAGTGATTAAATTCTCTGATACCGAGGGAAAATGTGTGGAAGTCCCGAGGGCGCAGCATAAGATAATATTGTTACGTGYTGCCCACTCCAGTTCCAGTTTCAAGTTTCTTTGTTAACAATTTTGAGTCAAAATTATCGTATCTCTAATATCCCTTAGGACCAGGGTTATGCAACCCTTTTATTATATATGCTTATTACAATTGTTCATAACACTGCTTCCCCCCCCTGAAAAATATGGTCCGTACTCGGATCTAATATGTCAATCAAAACAAAATTTTCCATCTTAGTCCAGTGTTCAGTTTTTTCCACCTTTTATGTGTCCGTCTCATCTTCTTCTTTTTTTCTTCTTGTTCTTTTTGTTCTTCTTTGTCTTCTAGTTCTTCCTTTTTTTCCTGTTTCTGTTCTCTTCTTTCTCTTTCTTTGTTTTTTTTGTTCTTCTCTTTTTTTGTCTTTGTCTTTCTTTTCGTGTGGTTTGCTTGTATTCTTTACCTCCTCTTTCTTTATCTCTGTTTTTTATCGTTCCATTTTTTCCTTTTATTCCTTTTTCTCATTTTAACTATTTTTTCCCTTTTGCACTTTTCTCTTAGCCTGTGTACATCCGTTTCTCACCCCTCAAAAAATCGGGGAGAGAACGTCTGTGATTTGCCGTTGCTAATCGTGTTCTGAGGTCCTCAAGATTTTGAGGACGAATTTCATTGGCCGTTGACTTATGAGACTTGTGATTGGCCAAAATCAATAGATGGCGTGTAAAGTTGGTCACACGAGTGAAATATAAGCCTTCATGGTAAACCACTGGAACATGTAGAATGCTTCAAATTGAATNCTCCAGTTCCAGTTTCAAGTTTCTTTGTTAACAATTTTGAGTCAAAATTATCGTATCTCTAATATCCCTTGGGACCAATCCTTTATGCAATCCTTCTACTAATTATGCTTATTACAATTGTTCATAACACTGCTTCCCCCCTGAAAAATATGGTCCGTACTCGGACCTAATATATTAATCAAAAAAATTTTCCATCTTAGTCCAGTGTTCAGTTTTTTCCACCTTCTATGTGTCCGTCTCATCTTCTTTTTTTTCTGTTTTTTCTTCTTCTTTTTGTTCTTCTTTGTCTTCTAGTTCTTCCTTTTTTTCCTTTTTTCCTGTTTTTGTTCTCTTCTTTCTCTTTCTTTGTTTTTTTTTTTTGTTCTTCTCTTTTTTTGTTTTTGTCTTTCTTTTCGTGTGGTTTGCTTGTATTCTTTATCTGTGACTTTATATTCTCCCTCCTCTTTCTTCATCTCTGTTTTTTATCTTTCTATTTTTTTCCTTTTATTCCTTTTTCTCATTTTAACTATTTTTTCCCTTTCGCACTTTTCTCTTCACGTGTCTAGAATATAGTCCTTGAACCTCCTTAACCTCGTTAACCTGGTCTTTGATGTCATTGTTCACTTGGGTGTTCTTCCCCAGGTTTAATGCCTGCTAGTACCGGTGACTCAATCCCAGCATCTTTTGTCGCTTTAGGTCTTCCTACTTTATCCGCTTCTTTGCTGAGTTCATCCAGATTGTGTATTTGTTGTGTTCGTTCTCGTTTACCCTAAACCACTGTTTAAATCCCTGTTGTATTTACAAAGACGATACTATGGACGATGCCAGGCTTCGCTTTCGGTGATTGATGAATTAAATATTAAGTCATTGATCTTTCTTTTAACTGTAGGTACGGTCCATCCCAGTTGCTTTGGAATTCGGGTATCACGCCTTTTTTCCTTTTCGGGGTATAAAACCTGACAGCGTCTCAGCGTCATAATGTCATTCTGTCGCTTGATATCCTAAGGTTAAATTGTGCGAACTTGTGAGTACTTGYCAAGTATCCCGGTGTGGGGGGAATTCCCTATAAAACATGGTAGGTATGCTCGACGGACGGATTGAAAAATGACCCTTAAAGGTACGCATAAATTAATTCAGGCATTGATTCCAGACCCTAAAAGGTACGACCATTTTTGACATCTTTAACAAGAGAGAAGATCAAATTTAACAAACTGTAGAAAATCAATGTCGATAGATTGTTGAGGTTAATGAAATCTATTTTTTTATCAAAACTTCTTCAATTTTTTTCCCGTTCTTCGAAAATTGAGCCTAAAAGCTACGGAGTCAGCTTAGGACCCAAAAGGTCTCCCAAGGCTTTCTTTTCGACCCTAAAAGGTCCGTCGAGCATACCATGTTTTATAGGGAAGTCACCCCCCGGGCCAAGTATTCTTGCAGTTGGGCAGTGTAGTCATCGTAACTGCTTTCTTGTAAACTGCCATCTTCGGGTCGTTCGAACATTATGTTGACTGTCAGGTGCAGTTCCCTCCCGAACATTAAACTTGCTGGGCTTTGACCGGTTGACTCATGTACAGCAGAACGGTACGCCATCATTGACTCATGTACAGCAGAACGGTACGCCATCATTGACTCATGTACAGCAGAACGGTACGCCATCATTAATTAAGGAACGTGGGTAATCTTATTGGTGATCTTCTTCTACGTATTTGGAGAGTTGGTCTTCCAATATTCTGTTAAATCTTTCTACCATTCCGTCTGACTGCGGCGATAGGGTGTTGTGCTGGTTTTTCGACATTGCCTAAATTAACATATTGCTGTCTATTATCAAAGTAGCTTTGAAACCACTTTAAAGGTAGACC